AACCAGGCCGTCCACCGTAACTTGAGTAGTCCTGAGACTGAGGCTTTTGCTGTGAAGCCATTGATCCGCTCATCGCCGCCGTCGCTGCCGCCGCCGCTGCCGTGCTTGAAGAAGTGCGATCAGGGTGCATTGGTCGCTGGCCAGGCGGAGACTGCTGCTGCTGCTGTTGGTACATCAACTTGGCAGCCTCAGTTGCCTCCGGTGACCCTCCAGCATACGGCTGGCCTCCACTATGAGGAGAGCCGATAGTGCTAGTTGGGCTTGTCGGCTTCTGCCGCAGTGTCCGATCGCTCAAAGACGTGGAAGTCTTATTCTTGGAGATCATTCTAGTAGACTTGATACCCTCCAAAATCTGGTTCGCCACGGCCATGGACATTCCACAGAAGTCAGGAACAAGGTGTACGCATGCCGCGTGTGCTGTGAGGCCACATTCTATTCAAAAGTCAGCTTTGTCTTTAGTTTGCCCGTTTGGTACTTCTCGCAAACTTACCCGCACATTTCCTGCAGTTCTTCTTGCCAAAAGGCAAAATGTAACCGCAGTGGCAACACCAGTTGGCTGTCATGTTTGAGAAGGCCTGGAATCTGTGGGGGATGCGGTGATTGATCTTCTCTTCGTCCGGATCAGTTTCAGCGTTACTCTTACTGATACATTTGGTGACAACGCTAGAGTAACATTTAGTGTGGCAAGTGTACTTGCAGTCCTCGCACTGCATGCCTGTCGAATATTTGAGGAAGTCTCCGCAAAGAGCGCAGCGCATGATGTTGTAGAACTGGTGTTGGACAAACTTGTGTCCGTACATCTCGTGAACCTCCTCCTTGCGCTGACGAACAGCACCCACACGGCCGAGACCTTGCAAGTTGACGGGGCGGCGAGCGTTGTTTTGCTTGAGGAAACCCAAGGATAGTTGAATCTGACCAGCAGGCTCGAGGTTGAACCAGCCGTCGATGGGCTGCTGAGCGATCGGAGGGTTCGCCATGGGAGGCTGTCCTTGTTGACCTTGTTGTCCTCCAACGCCAGGAGAGGGGGGAGGACCACCCATTGACTGCTGCTGCTGTTGAGGGTTCATTGGGAATTGCGCCGGCGGAGCACCCATACGGTCGGCCGACACCCACCCAGAGCTGTTGATCTCTGCTTCGATCCTCTTTCTTCTCATTTCCTCGGCGATGTCGGAGATTCTGACCCAGAGCATGGCAATAGGAATGGCATGCTCGCCAGGCTTATCATACACTGTAAGTTCGATTTCGTTCGCCTTGTCGACTTCAAGAGTATGGTACTCGGCTTCCCACTTGTCGGTTCTGGTCACTCTCGTGCGGGCGACGACGTTGTCTTCGACCTTGACGGCGATGAAAGTCTCGGGTCCTCGGCTAAAGCGACTCATGGATGCGTGATCAACGTCCTTGATTTGTCCGACACGAATGGTGAGCTGGCCAGAGAGGGGCTTGCGGAGATTAGGCATATTGATAGAGTCATCTAGGAAGTGTTAGCAGGAGCAGTCCGACGAGACAGCTTTCCGCGAGCATAAAAGCTCCAAAACGTACCATCCTGGGCATCAGATGTATCCATGTCGATGTGCAACTCCTCGTAGCGCTTCATAGCCTGCTTCAACAAAAGAATTTTCTGCTTGCTCTCAACTCTTCTAGCGGCAGCATCAGCCTTGCTCTTGCGATCTCCTTCCATGCCGTATAGCTGAACCATCTTCTCGATTCCCTTGAGATACTGCTCCTCCACGTTGAGCTTGAACTGAATCTGCGACAGCATGAGCTGAATACGAGGGCCGAGATAGGGGGTATCATATTTGATAAGATCTGCAGCGGACAATCAGCAACTCAAGTTCGTTGAAAAGGTTTCGGGGGTAATGCGCACCAAGCTTGGTGAAGTTGGGGCGCGGCTTAGGGATGGAGGAAGAGGGGCCTGGATTGGCATAAGGATGGCGGGGAGGCATCAGGTCGGCGTGGCCGCCAATCTGGCTGTACTGGACATTGCCGCCCGACGTTGCGCTCCCGGCACCATAACCGCCACGCTCTGCCCAGGCATTCGCATCCTTGGGGGGAGGGGCGGGCGCATCCTCAACGTCGCCGCTCAGAGGTCTACCGTCACCGGAGGGGGATCCCATGGACATGTTGTCCATACCCCGACGCAGCTGTGCCTCGCGAAGCTTCTCTTCGAAGAATTGCAGGTTTCGACGACCATCGCGCATCTGGGAATCGAGTCGTGATCGCACGGCCTCGTTGTTTGTCTGGGCTCTCATAGCATTGGCGGCGTTGAGGAGAGCCTTTTCGCGCTCAATCTTTTTGAGGATATTTTGGATGGCATCTTCGTCGTTCATTGTGACGGTGGGGTTGCGCGACTCCACGCGCGGGAACTATGTGTTGTGTTGATGTTGATATTTTTTTGGTTGGAGGGGAAAAGAATGAGCTTTGAAGCTACTTGAGATTTCAAGAAGAGCCCTAGTTGAGGGACTGATGCGTTCAGGTGTAGTGTACGCAGATTCTCTCGCCCGCTCTGTTGTGGTCACCGCAATATCGCGCAGGTGGTGGGCGAGGTAGTGGGTGCGAGGTATGGTATTGATAGGATACGACACGAGGAGAGAGGATGAGGGTGATCGAGAGCGAGGTAGGTAGGTAAGAGATGGGTACGAGGTTCAGTAGCGAAGTATGCGTATGGATGAATACCGGAGATTCGGCGCCGGAGGGGCTCGGGGTAGGTTGGCACGGCGGGAGGATCGGTCTGTCGGAACTGTCACGACAGAAGATCGGTGGGTGCAGCCAGCCCTCGAGTCGTGAGGTGGTGTTGTTTTTTCGCAGGTTGGGCTGTTGGTGAAGGATGTCGTCAGTGGGTTTTGGAGCAGGACGGGACGCAAAGACGGGGGGTTTCTCGGGAGGGGTCGCTCTCTCTCTTTCTCTCGCGGCCGCCAGTGCGCAGGCGGGCAGAGTGGAGGTGGGTGAGGGAGGACGAGGAGACGGTGGGCAGCGGGAGAGGACGGGGTACCGGAAATGATGTATTTTTTGTGTGTCGTCAGGTCGAAAAGATACTTGCAAAACAAAGTATTCCTCGACCTTCACTTCAAGTCCTGAATCCCCGAGCTGCGGCCTGCCTTTGGGCTGCCCGCTCTGAGTGCACGGGAATTGGGAAATACCTACTGCTACCTTACCTACCTAAGGTACCTTAGGTAAGGTACCTTACCTGAGGTATTGGGTACGTACCTCTTTTGGAGGGGAGGGAGGGGGACGACCTCAGCGAGTCCTGCCTTGCCTGAGGTGCTTCCTGCCGTGATGGAGGGGTGTTACGAAAGCACCCGGCACGGACGAGGCAACTCTGTAACTCGATGTGAAGATGGCAGGCGAGCTAAAAACAAGGTACATTCAGACGATTATTGCAATTAAGGCACCTTACTTTGCCTGCCCTCATATTCCCATCATTTACCACTCGTGCCACTGCAATCCCACAGGTCCGAGGGTCAGTAGCTAAGGCCAAAAGATCATCAAAGATATCCGCAATGTTATTTCGACCATCCTCGGGGGGATCCATCGGCGTCTCATCATCTCCATTTCCTCTGATGCCCAACAACACTCGTTGCGGGTGCGCTTACCAGGTTTGCCCCTCTCCCATGCGGGTATCCATGCCCAGTATCCGTAAGGTAAGGCCAGCGCGGATACCTGCCTACACTGCTACAGCCTACCTGCAACTGCATACCTATGTACCTAGAGGCTAGAATCAGGGCCAGCTGCTCTAGGATGGCACAAGTTTGATGTCGTATTCCAGGCGATAATGAAAAGGCCGCACTGGCTGGCGAGCTCACTCGCAACTTGCAAAGCAGGGAAGATGGGCGCATAGGGCAGCAAAGCTCAGCTGGACTGTTCCGTTTCTTCCACACCGGCCGCCTTCTATTCGTCCTATCTCAGGCATCTCGGTGTCACCAGCCAAATAGTCGGCAGGCAATGAAACAATTCAACAACTTGTGGCGGCGCCCTGCAGATTCACAGAGGGGAAGACAAAAACTCGTAGAGCTAGCGACCTGCAAAAAGTCCTGGATCGGACGTGGGGCTCCAAGGCTTTCCTACTTGGTCTATAGGGGTAAGTTTAAACTCCCTACCAGGTAGCGTGGGTCTGGCCAGGGTAGAGCAGTGACTCTCAATGGCCAAATTTGTGTTCGACGTGCACAAGAATCTCGAAAGTAATGCTGCTGATGTAATCTCGAAAAGCACGGGCGAAGATACCTGACAAGGGGGTTAAACTTTGGCCTGATACCGTAGTAGGACTTTTTTCCTAGGTACACCGTACCGTAATGTTTCACCGTGGTGAAGATTCATTTCTGCTCTGCGCCAATCATTTTGCTTTCCCGGGTTCAGACTCGCTCTTGTCACTTTAAGCTGATGATACAATGGACAATGTACCTTTGTACACCCACTCTCGGATATATCCACACAGTACCTCTCTCTCATCACATACACTTCACCACACTCTTGTCTGTCTCTCCAGACGAACTCCAATGAGCCCAGTTTCTCGCCGATGGGCCATACATCAAGGAGACGCAACGTCATGGTCACTTATACACATTGCCTGGCAGTCAGTGTTGATAAGGTTCTACCGCCCAGCTGAAGCACTAATCTTGCTTTATGGAGGCACGGATACTGTATGGCATTGTATAAAGCGGACGGTACCTGTACCACCATCTCCAAGTCTCGGGGAGTTTATCGGCCCAGTTTTCCCAACACGGCCCATCCTCGCAGTCGCCGGGCTTGCAGCAGCTGCATCATCGCCCGATCCCCCATCACGACCACCACGCACAAATCACACTTCACACACGCGCTGCCCGTCACCTTGCCATGATCTGATGATGCAGCCCTAGGTCTCCCGTCTTCCGTCTCTACGTCTAGCCCTGCTCTAGGTAGTCTGTTTTATTTACTTTTCGTACAGTAAGTACAATGGGACGCATGATCCCAGGTTCACGCTGACTACGCAGGATTCATCCAAGTTGCTTCTAAAAGCCGATAATCCCATGAACGATACCGAGCACATGCCAATGTTCCATATTCACCATTCTACCTCTCAGTATACACCAGAGATGCCCGTCATGCTCTTCTCCACCACCAGCAAACGTCTCAAGCATCTGACAGATTCCTCAATCCAAGAGGCCTCCTCGCCAACGCCATCGCCACAGAGCTCTATACACCACCGCCCACCTCGCGATTTGGGGGTTTTTACCACCGGCCGACTTAGCCTCCCGGCTGACACCTCTGCCGGAGAGGTCTCGCCAAAATGCCCCTCCCGCCACCACACAGCTGCCGGCCGGCCTTTCCGGCCCAACGCCGCGCCACACCGACGGCCAAGTCCTCAGCCCTCTACTCCAGGCACTAACACCACAAATCTTCCCCCAGATTCCACACACACGCACACACACCATCTCTCACCCACACCTCCGACGAACTTCGATAAATAATCAAACACGCGGGTCCCCTTTTTCTGAATACGAACTGACAACAGTTGACCTACCTCTTCCGGACGAGGAAAATGTGGATAGCTAGCCCATCAACCCCGAATCCGGGTCACCGCCTGTTACTTCCTCAAAAGTCACCTCTCATCCTATCGTTCTCGTCCCAATCATAAACAAGATCAACGGAACTTCCAAACCACGGCTCAGCATGTCATCTGTAACGCTTACCTGAAACAAACTTACCAACCAAGCAGCTCACTCACTGTCAACCACTACACGCGGCTCAGCTGAACCAAGCACACTGGAGCACATTGAGCCGCCAAATGCATACTCAAGAGGTTAATGCCAGCCATGGAAACACAAGTGACAACAACCACTATGACTTATCCGAGGGGGTGGGAGAACACGTAATTCCAACCCGCCAACTTCGAGGGCTTGACGTCGCGGGACCGTTTCGACCCACCCTCGCTCCGCGGCCGCCGTCCAAGGTGGCCCCCAACCCACCCGGTCCGCGCAATGCCAGAGAAACCTACCGAGCGAGGAGGTGGGATATTGTAATCCGCTACTGTATCCGTATCTCTATCCCGACCTCGGATCAGTAATGGCTTGGAAGGTTGCGGCTCAAGCCGATCAACTTTCTCTCGCTCATGCCTCTCATCGTCGCTATTCAGATCATCGAGATGCGACGAAGCCAATCATGACCGCTCGGACATGTCATCGCGTAGTGGTTCGGGTATTTTTCGTAAATGCCTTCCTCGAATCACATTCCAGTCAAATTCCCCTTGGTCTGTGTATTGTTAATTGGCGTCTGTGTTCTGGTCTGAAGTTTGATGCGAAGCGTGTAAGGTGCTGTTGAGCTCATGCAGGACAACGCGGCACTTACACATTGGACGCCTAAAATGGGATGAATGAAATATGTCAACGTCAACGACTCCTAGCTTCCACAAAAGGTCGGCGATTCATTTCATCTAGCGATTTGGTTTGAACTTCATGAAATGACTCCTGCCAAAGGAATTGCCTAAAGTTGGTTCCGCATCGATTTGGAGTATGAAGTACGAGGTATGAAATGCAGACTATGAAATTCGTAGTCGCCTAGACTCTGCACACTGTGGTTCTTGTGTGATGAGTATGTCCCTAGGATGACATCATGCCAGCTTGCATCTTCGTTGGTAGGAATTTGCAACTCGATCTGCCAGACGCTACCCGATATAGGCCCTACCTCACCAGCCTGGAGCAGAAGCCCTTGGCAGACTAGCATCTTGCCGAACGTGACTCAAGTTACTTCCACTTGACAATGCCCTCTGGCCATTATCATGATCAGGCCACAGATACCAACCATCAATAGCACTGGTCGACTCAGAGCACCTGTCGAAAATCCCCCTCAAGGTTGACGCCATGAAGTTATTAAGGCGGCTCAAAGTCCTACGAAGCGGGTAGAGGCATCGCGGTATGCCAAGACTCGAATCACGCAGGCGGCGCATCTTCGCAATGAGGCCCTGGGGACTTTTCACATGAGGTTTCATATAGCATCTAACGAATCATCATTCGCGAGGCAATGCGCCCCAACACCGAATCGTGTCGCTTTTACTAACAAAAGACGCCATCTAGTAACCTACACGACTCCCAAGGGAAAAGCTTTGCAACTTTGATACCTTCTTTCTTCGCCATTCTCTCAAAACGCGTCTACCGCCCTCTCTATGCGGTATACTCCTTCTGCAACAGCTTGGCGATAGTGTTGAGCTGGATGTTGCTCGTGCCCTCGTAGATGGCGCCGATCTTGCTGTCGCGCCAAAACTTCTCGGCGGGGCCGTCGCGGACGAAACCCATGCCGCCCATCCACTCGATGGCGAGACCGCTGACGCGGCCGGCGACCTGGCTGGCGTACAGCTTGGCCATGGCGGCGTCCATGACAAAGTTCTCGCCCGCCTCCTTCTTGCGCGCCGCGTTGTAGACCAGCGCGCGGGCGGCGGCGATCTCGGTGTAGGACTGCGCGATCTGGTGCTGCATGCCCTGGAACTCGCCGACGAGCTGGCCGAACTGCTTGCGGTCGTTCCAGACGTATCTTGAAAAGGGGGTTAGTCTGAAATTTTACAAAGAGAGAGGAATAACCCAGGGGGGAGGGGGGTCTTACCTGACGGCGTTCTCCCAGGAACCGAGAGCGAGACCAGTCATCTGAGCCGCGATACCGATACGTCCCTCGTTCAAGAGACCAATGGCGTACTTGTAACCGGCGCCCTCCTCGCCCAGGAGGTTCTCCTTGGGGATCTCGACGTCGTCAAAGTTGATGACGCACGTGCTGCTGGCCTTGATACCCAGCTTCTTCTCCTTCTTAGCGATAGAGAACCCCTTGGCATCCTTCTCGACAATGAACGCCGTGATGCCCTTGTACCCCTTGGACGGGTCCAGGTTGGCAAACACGATGAAAAAGTCGGCCTCCTTGGAGTTGGTAATCCACATCTTGGAACCGCTAATCTTGTACCCGCTCTCCGTCTTGGTCGCCTTGGTCGCCAGCGCAAACGCATCAGAACCACTAACAGGCTCGCTCAGACAGAAGCTGCCGACGGTGCTGGTGGCGAGCTTGGGCAGAAAGCGCTTCTTGAGCTGGCTGCTGCCCCACTTGATGATGGCCGTGTTGACGAGGGTGTTGTGCACGTCGACGAGGACGCTGACGCTGGGGTCGACGCGCGCGAGCTCCTCGATGCCGATGATGGCGCTCGTGAAGTTCATGCCTGCGCCGCCGTACTCCTCGGGGATCTCGACGCCCATGAGCCCCTGCTCGAACAGCTGCTCCACGATGGCCGGGTCCATGTTCTCCGCCTCGTCCATCTCGCGCACCTTGGGCGCGATCACGTCGTTGGCGAACTTGCTCACCGCCTCCTGCATCGCGGCCTCGACCTCGGAGAGGTGGGTGATGGGCGTCGGGGGGATGTCGGCGATGTCAAAGTGGTCGGCATTACGGCGGCGCTGGGTGGTAGAAAGGGGTCTTGCGGTCCTGGAAGGGGAATGTTTCAGTATCATGGCTAGAGTCTGCGGAAAGACTGAGTACTTACTGCTGGAGTGGCGAGAGCGCTCTGCCCGGTGTGCAAGTCCTCACCCTCGCAAGGGTAGCAACACCACGGCTTCCTCTCAAAGCAGGGCGAACGGCCCTAGAAATCGACGACATGGTATACGATGTGATGTGTATATAGTCTCGAGATCACTCAAGCAAGTCGGCAACAGCAAAGAGAAAATAGGGTAAGAAGAACTCCGGAGGTACGGGAAGATCTGGGGATCGTGGGAACTCCTCGGCTACTTATGGTCTCGCTCGGCCGTGCGGTGAGCTAGCTAAGAGAGAGAAGGCAAACGCCCGGACGGGAACGGTCAATTGGCGTTGAACGGTTTCCCGAAATAAAGGGTGAGACGATAAGATGAGATTAATCGTAGACAGGAGAGCAAGTCAGGAGTATTGTGTAGGTAGAGTAGAGTAGGCCACACAAATTAAGTCAAACATGCGGTGCGCCCTAGACCGTGAACCTCAAAGCCATTCGGAGCCACGGTACCTGGCGGCTGGCGAACAGACACAGCGCCCGCTTCAGCCGAGGATATCCATCCCGCAGCGGGGGGGACACTGGGGGGCCAACACTGTCCCAGAGTCCCCAGTTTTGCTCCAAGTCTGGGGGAAAGCCGACGGCGTAGCACCCAGATGGGCGACATGCCAGGGGGGGGTTTCTTGGGGTTCTACGGGTGACATGGTGACGCTAGAGTCGCTTACGTCAGGACCTGAATTCTTCCAACGGGCATGTGATGCACCTCTAAAGCCGCCCAGTGCGAGTCACCTAAGCCGATGCCGTCCGTGGTCCGAGTTGCAAAAGGACGGAAGTGGGTCCGGGGGACGGAACTCGCTCCTCTGGCCTGAGGCGTCGATTATCATTCAAGTTCAACCCCTTGCGATAGCCAAGCGCCTTAGGTAAGCAAAAAATCCAGCTTCCAGGGATTCGAATGCACACCTAGGTGCCCAGTCGCGACGATAGCTTCTAGATCGTGACGACAGCAATTGGACGCCGAATACACTCGACACCATTTGCCCGACATGGCCAGCACACTCCTCAGATCCCTTTTCGCCCCGGCGATGAGGCCAGCGGCCTTCCCTCGCGCCGCCTCCATACTCACACCAACGGCGAGCACCATCACCACCCCCCTGATCCGATCCTTCTCCTCGACGCCCGTACAAAATGCCACCATCATGCAGGTCCTGAGAGTTCGTCCTCCCTCCCTGCCTCCCTCTCTACACGATACACTTAACTAATTCTCCCAACCTCACAGGGCTGCCACAAGAAGGGCAAGCGCGCCCGTCACGCCGTCTCCCCCGCCCTGTCCGAGATCAACGCTCCCGCCCTCAAGGGCGTCTGCCTCAAGGTCGGCATCACCCGCCCCAAGAAGCCCAACTCTGGCCAGCGCAAGACCGCTCGTGTCCGCCTCTCCAACGGTCGCCACGTCACCGCCTACGTCCCCGGCGAGGGCCACAACATCCAGCAGCACAGCGTCGTTCTCGTCCGCGGCGGCCGCAGTCAGGATTGTCCCGGTGTGCGGTACCATCTCGTCCGTGGCGCCCTCGATCTCGGAGGTGTGGCCAACCGTGCTACTTCCCGGTCCAAGTACGGTACGATGAAGCCCAAGAAGGCTACTGTTTCTTAAATTGGAGGTCTTGAGTTTGGAAGATGATATGAGTGGAAGACGCATGGATGGGCGCTGTGGAAGGGATTCAGAGCGGAAGGGTACTTTTGCCCTTGTTGTGGTGTACGACTATTAGACACCATAAGACATATCAAGACGTGTACTATTACAATGTACAAAATACCAAAAGAGATTTCACAATATTCAAACATATTCAAGAAGTTCAAGTCAGAGCTGGACAAACACCAGATGGACCCTTCCATTTGCCTATATCTACACAGCAAAAAACGTGTCCAAGTCTTACAGAACCATTTACGCCACTCCACAGTTGGTACCCATGTGCCTGACCAGTG